CCACTTTGCTTAGAGCAATTGGTATCACTGTTTTTTCCAACATAGTTAGGAGGCAATGAAGTTTTTCGATCTTAGCCTTGGCAATTACTGTTGTTTCCCTATGATTTGGACCCATTGATGTAGGAGTACTAGCCGGTGTCTTAGAACTAGTGCCAACATGAGCACTATCCTTCTTTGTCCCCCTTAATCTTGGTTGGTTTCAACTCTAGATGTAGCTTCCAATACCTATCTCTGTGTGTTTTGGTCTTTTGCAATAATCACACGTAAAATCTTCCCCTTCAGCTGCATGAGCCCTTTTGGAACTGTTACTTTATTTATGTTTAGTGAAGATAACCATGTTGAGCATTCAATAGTTTGTTAATGAATCATGGAAGCCCTATGACTCTTCACCCTAAACTAGTGAATATGCAACAAGAGGAGTAACCAAATTATTACTTAGGATTTGTTGTTGTGTAAAGTCATATTCAACGTTTAGCCTGGCTAATAACTCAAAGACACTGAGCTTTCATATGCTTCTTGTACTACACCCCATGAAATTAATCCCTGAACTCAAGTGCCTCTAGATAATCTATTTCCTCCTCATAATGATAGAAAAGAACAAAAAATATAAAGACATTGAACTCTCCCCCCCCCTCTTTGAGATTATTGGCTTTCTTGTGAAATTGATAGATTTTGGTGGTGTTATGAACTTGCGAATAGGTGGCTGAAATCCTATCCAAGATATCCTTAGCTGTTGACAAAAGCATGTAGTTCCTTGCTATATGTGACTGCATAAAACCAACCAGCCACATTATAATCATAAGGTTCTACTCCCATCAAGCATGATTAGGGTCAGTTGGAAGAGGTTTTTTCTCAGCCTTGGTTATGCATCCCATCTTTCCACAACCTCTGACATACATCTTTGTGAATTGAGGCCACTAGGAAATCGGCACCATTAAGATTTATAGTTCTAATCTGGATATTTGGGTTGTGATCCATGGAAGTGATTTAAAAGGCATGCCTAGGCACTCAGGCGAGGCACATTTTAAGGTATGTGTCTTGCCTAGCCGCCAGCTACAGCACTTTCAAAAGGCGCATGCCTGGTGTGCCTAGGAGTACGCTTTTTTGCTATTTTTTAAGCCTAGTAGAGCCCCTATTAGCTACTGTTGTTTATTCATTCTTTCTAATGAAAGAATGGACTTGTTTGGGCTTTCCTTGAGGGCTTGGTACAAAGGCAGCTCATAGAATTAGGAATTAAAGATGTTTAACATCACATTAGCTATTTGAAACAATGGAAGAAATAAAGAAATTAATAGTTTAACATGCTTGAATATGTTTTGTATGCTATTTTTTATTTTATTTTGCATTTTTCACTTTGAATATGTTTTGCATGTTAATTTTGTGCATTTTAATCTGAGTTAATAGGCTTTTTAAAATATTTAGTTTAAAATTAAAGTTCATTTTTCTTAATTAATACTATTTTTAATATTTTCTTAATTTATTTTAACTTTTTTACTTTTTTTTTGCTTTTTTTCTTGAATTTTGTGCCTTGCTTCAAAAAGGTGTGTGCCTTGCCTTGCGCCTCGGCCACAAAATGGCTATTGTGCTTTTTTTGCGCCTTGTTCCTTGGGCACAAAATGACCATTGTGCTTTTTTTTTGTGCCTTTCGCTTTTAAAACACTGCTCCATAGGAGAAACAACTACCCAGCCACCCAAAAACAAAGAGGCACTAGAATCAATGTCCTTCACACCAAAACAGCATGTACTAGTTCTACCTAGACCTGTTCATGGGCCGGGCTCGGGCTTGGCTTTTGTCAAAATTCTAATGAGCCCGGCCCGAAGCCCGAGCCCGAGACAGTGTAAAATCGGGCCCGAAGCCCGGCCCGTGAACAGGTCTGGTTCTACCCAGATCAGATACATATCAGAAATTATCCTCCGACAGCCCTAATACATAGTTTTCAACACATGAGAGAGAAGAAAAAGAGAAAAACACAGCTTGCTGGTAAATATGATCACTATAACCTCAAATCAACTCTTGAGTGAGATCAACCCTGGGACATCCAAAATTTCATACAGTTCCAACAGAAGCAAACCCAATCGGCAAAAAAAAAAAAAAAGCATTGGGAAGAGTGCAAATTCAAATATGTTCAGTGCAGATACAAATGGAGCTTATGTGTATGAAGTGGGCATATTGTATTCGCACTGAACAGATTTATATTTGCACTCTTTCCAAGCGGAGCCTAAGCAACAAAATTGATTGAACAATTAGATCTGACTTCTTTTAATTTTCTTAACAAAAATTCCAGAAAAAACATGAAGCTCATTAGTACGTATGAAACCACCACCAAAAAGTGTCTAAAATCATATCTAACCAGAACCTAAGGTTCCCATGCTCTGAAGGATGTGCCGGCCATGCAGTCTACTGATATGGTGGTGATGATGTCAGCAGTCAGACATGATTGCTGCAATTGAACCTTCTTCTGTAGGGTGCTCTTATACTAATTACTCACTTGAGTTGTAGATGGTTGAGAAAGAAAGAGAGAAGAAGAAGAAGAAGAAGAGAGAAGAAGAAGAAGAAGAAGAAGAAGAAGAAGAAGAAGGAGGAGGCAAAAATGCATCAGTAAACGATTAATATTAGGCAAAAAGAAGAAGAAGAAGAAGAAGAAGAAGAAGAAGGAGGCAAAAATGCATCAGTAAACGATTAATATTAGGCAAAAATGCCCTTGGATAGGTACCTCTCAACAAGTAAATGTAGAAATGGATTGGGTAGGGTATATCCATATGCGCTACCATACCATACCAAGCTTTTCAATTTTGGCAAGGGGTAGCTAAGGTCAACTTCAAGAGCTCTACAGGTTTAAGGCAAGGTGATCCCTTGTCACCATTACTTGTCATTATTTTCATGCAAGGTTTGCAACAATGGCACAAAAAGTATGATGGAAGTAGGGGAAGTCACCAATGTGCAGGAATTGGCTGATCTATTGGGCTGCAAGGTGGGTAGCCTTCCTACCAAATACTTGGGCCTTCCACTTGGGGGCAAAGAGCACGTCAAAATCCATTTGGATCCCAATTCTTGAATGAATAGACTCGAAGTTGATTGCTTGGAAGACTTGTTATCTATCTAAAGAAGACAAAGTGACTCTAATGAAGAGTGTGTGCTAGCCAGCCTCCCAGCATATTATATGTCTATTTTCACCATCTTCTCTGAAGTTGATGGTGAAATTGAGAAGAACATGATAGAAAGGTTGGAATGATTCAGCCAAATATCACTTGTCAACTAGGATCAGTTTTGTAAATCAATTTCCCATGGCGAGCTGGGAATCAGGAAGGTTAAGCATTTAATACAACCTTATTGGGTAGTGGTTTTGGAGATCCTTGACAGAACCCAATAGTCTATGGAGGAAGATTATAGATGAGAAATATGGCTTAAGTAATGGTTGGGATGCAGAGAACTCTCACATATCTTATGGGTGTGGTGTATGGAGTGGCATATAGGCTTTCAACAAATTTTATGGAGAATTATGGTTCAAGGTAGGAGATGGTAGAAGATTGCTTTTCTGCTTGGATCCATGGTGTGGGGAGAGGGCTCTGAAGGACAGGTACCTGACTCTGTTTAATGTAGCCGAAAACAAGTTCACTTAGGTTGCAGATTCTTGTGTGGTGGCTGTTGACTCCTTTGGAAGGAGCTTCAATGATTGGGAGATGTATTCGGTGGTTGAGCTCCTTGCTATGCTCCAAAACCAACACATAAGTCTGCAAGTTCAAGATTCTTGATACTGGAAATGGTTACACTCAGGGAAGTTCTTAGTTCTTAGTGAAATCCTTCTATCGAGGCATTGTTGTGGGGAAGGTGAGGATTTTCTAAAAAACCCATATGGGGCACTGATGCTCCTTCAAAAGTGAAGTTTTTCATGTGGGTGGTAACTTGGGAGAAGTGTCTTACATAAGACATGTTGCTGAAGAGAGAAGAATCATCCTCAAATCACCTGTTTCTGCATTGTTGTTTTAGTGCCTCCACTTGGCACTACTTTATTAGGGCACTAAACTTACAGTATTGCTTTCCCAGGTCAGTGAGGCAGCTTTTAGAAGAATGGCAAGTAGTGGGTATGTCAAGGAAAAGGGACAGTCTGATGGTAGTGGTGGTGTGGGCCATCCGGTATGAAAGAAGTATTAGAATATTTGAGTAGAAGTCAATTTCTGAATCAGGGGTGATTCACCTGGCAATAGAGATGTTAAAGAGTTGGCTGTCTATAATCACTGTATATAAGGATGATATATTCTCTGCTTCTTTTTTTTGGGTGGATTATTTAGAGGGTCCTTAGTTGGCATATACTTGTACAGCTTCTCATAAAGTGTAAGCCTCCCAAACACAAGGAGGTGTAAACCTCCTTAAGAGGAGGGGGATGAGGAGGAAGAAGAAAAGGAGGGGGAGGAGGAAGAAGAGGAAGGAGGATCTCATCTTGTTCCTTTCTCTTTGTTCTTCTCTTTCTTTCTTTTTCTTTCCCTTCTTTCTTTTCTTTTCCTTTCCTTTCCTTCTTTTTTTTATTTGTCTTTTTGTCCAAGGCATGCATGAGGCGCATTCCTCTATGAACAACTATGACATATGCCTCAGGGTGTTTTGGGGTGCTTCCCATGCCTTTTAAAATAGGGATTTTTACGATTCAGTCCACCTCAGAATTGGTCATTTTTTTCCCAATGTATTTATACCTAGCTCCCCCTATGAACACCATCCCCCCTTTTAAAATACTGGTATAGAGGACCATACTTTTGATATTAATACGTATACTTTACCTTTCTAAAAAAAAAAGAAGAGAAAAATTGAATTCGAATTTGGACAAACAGGTACCATTTGCAGCCTACTTTTACTTGTGATATCTGTGGTTTTTACATCTCCATTTGTTTATTGTTGTTGCATTGAGAAATTCAAAGGGCATCCTTATCATATTAAAGATCATCCCAAGTGTTATAGGTCACAGTGTGAGTTAACTAGCAATTTATGATTTTATGATTTATATTTGCAGGGAACAGGAGCAATTGAAGGATTAATTTTAAATTTGCCTAGAGAGGGAGAATTATGTTTAAATGGCGAAGTATTTGAGAAGATGCATAACCTAAGACTGCTCCAGCTCAATTATGTAAACCTCCCAAGAGGCTATGAACATTTTTCTAGAGAGCTAAGGTGGCTCTGTTGGCATGGATTTACTTTAAAATTTATACCAACCAATTTTTATTTGGAGAACGTTGTTGTGCTTGACATGCAACATAGCAGAATCAAACAAGTCTGGAAGGAAATAAAGGTTTGCAATGGAATTTATGTTCTCTTACGATCAATTTTGTGTTTCGGGAAAATTGATATTTTTCCTTTTTTTTGTACAGTTGCTTGGGAACTTGAAAATCCTTAATCTTAGTCATTCCCTTCGCTTACTCAAAACTCCAGACTTCACAGGTGTTCCCAATCTTGAAAGGTTGATCCTCGAAGGTTGTACAAGTTTGGTTGAGGTTCATAATTCCATTGGATGTCTTGAAAATCTTGTTTTCATGAATCTGAAAGATTGTAGAAATCTTATCAATTTGCCAAGCAGCATCTGCAAGTTGAAATCTCTTGAAAATCTCATTCTCTCTGGCTGCTCAAAACTTCACAACTTGCCATCTAAACCATGGTATTCGTTCTTCTTGACATTGGAATTTCCAAGAAAAAATCACCGTTCCATTCTTATTCCACCAACTTCTTTCTCAGGTCTTTGCTCCTTAAAACGGCTTGATCTGAGCAACTGCAATCTACTAGATGGCACACTACCTAGTGATTTGGGAAACTTATCCTCATTGCAAGAATTGCATCTAGGAAATAACAACTTTTGTAGCTTACCAGCTACCATCAACGGCCTTTCTCAGTTACAACTTCTTCAGTTAGAAAATTGTACAAGGCTAGAATCCCTCCCAGAGCTTCCTTCAAGCTTAAAAGTCTTGAATGCAAAAGGTTGCACATCAATGGAAAGACTATCAAATATTAAAAGTTTATTATCATTGGAAGTGTTAGATCTCTGTGAAAGCAATTTTTTTAACCTACCAGCCAGCATCAGTCACCTTTCTCAGCTCCAAATCCTTCGGCTGCAGAATTGCACAAGGCTTCAGTCAATTCCAGAGCTTCCATCTAACCTTAAGAGCTTGAATGCAGATGGTTGTACATCATTGGAAAGAATATCAAACCTTGGGAACTTAGAATTATTGGAAGAGTTAAGCCTACGTAATAACAATTTTTGTAGTCTACCTGTTGGCATTGGTCAACTTTCTCAGCTTCAATACCTTTGGTTACAAGATTGCACGAGACTTAAATCACTTGAAGAGCTTCCTTCAAGTCTAATAGAATTGTTTTCAGATGGTTGCACATCTTTGGAAATGTTACCAAATATGTCAAACTGCTACAACTTATCAAGCTTGCTTCTAGGAGATTGTGACAAGTTAATTGAAATTCAAGGCTTAGAGAGGTTGGGAAATTTACGACGCATTCACTTGGATAGGTGCAACAATTTGACAAATACTTTTTGGATGACTCTTATCCAGGTTCTCTCTCTCTCTCCCTATCTCAACCCCCCCCGTGTGTGTGTGTGTTGTGTTGTGTCTTAAACATCAGGTTTTTGTATGTAATAGGGACTGCACGAACGTGGTAGGTTTGACATCTTCCTTCCTGGAAATGAGGTTCCACAGTGGTTCAGCCATCAAAGTATGGGGTCTACAACATCCTTTAAGATTCCCGCTTCTTTGGATTGTAAGATTCAAGGGCTGATTGTTTGTGCTGTATATGCTGCATATGAAGAGAGTGATGATGGGCTTAGACTTGCTTTTCTTCCTTACGCTAATATTGTTGATAAAACAAGTGGATTTGAATGGAGCCTTGTGCCACAGTTCAATGAGATTCCAGTTACTACTGAAGATCACTTGTGGTTGAGCCATAGAACACATACTGAAACTGGACTTTGGTTGGAAGCTGGGGATGAAGTGGACGTTTCAATAGAGGCTGTACAAGTATTCCATGTGAAGAAGTCTGGGGTCCATCTGGTATATGATGCAGATGAGTATTGTTCGGATCCTGTTGTCATTCATAGGGACTAAATTTTGTAGCATTGCCAACTTGGGAGTCAACGCAATAACTTGGTTGAGTTTAATCAATTGCAGTGACAGAACAGTAATGGGTATGATTCTCTCCCTTTTTTCTGGGTTTTCTGAAATTTTGATTATGAAAATGCAGGTTTATCTATTCACTAGTCAGGACTCCTGTAATGTACGGGCTTTCTTAAGCAAGATTGAAGTATATGGGACCTTATGAGTTATGACATTCCAAATTGGGCCAAGCGGTCTATGTCAAATTCAAGCATTATTTTTGTGCTATGTATTGTCAAATAAATTTTATTTATTTATTTTTTTTACATTCAGTGGAATTTAAAATGCTTGAAAAAATCAATTTAAATGATTATTTTATATTAAAATTATTTTATAAGTAATAATTAATTTAAAAAAGTTAATTTCTATTAATATTTAAAAGTTTTACTAAAATTATATTGCTTTTAAGTGAAACTTAAGTGGACTATAATTTTAATTCGTCTTTATTAATTATTACTTTTTATATGCTATTGTTAGACATATATGTATTGACTTTTGTTATTATTTAAATATAATTTAGTTGACCTGAAATTAATAAAATATTAACAAATTTTTCTTATTTTCTACATTACTCACTTATTTTCTTATAATTATTAAACCTTTGCTAATAATTTTAGTTTTCCTGACCTTTATTTATTTCATTAATTGTGAATGACATTTTACTTTTATTAATAGAACTAGTTCTACTTTTTATTGTTCATGGATAATTTTTATCCATTTTATAAGGTTTTAATTTATTCATTATTTTATTTTTTGTAAGTTATTGTTAAATAAAATTGTGTTGATTTTTATTATTATTTAAATGGCATTTAAATGACTTAAATTAATAAAAATTAATTTTAAAATGAACAAAATTAATTCCAATTGTAGTAATTTTTCTTAAACTTATTTTTATCAATCTTTATTGGTTTAAGAGATTTTTATATTGATTTTCATTTTTAGTAATTTTTATAAAAAATGTTTCTTTTATTAATAATTTTATTAACTTTTTATTTTTATAATATTTATTGTATTAAATGGATCTTTATTTTTACTAAGTTTTGTTTAATAAAATAAAAATAATTTTTTTACTATTATTAGATAACTGTTTTATTTGATATTGTTACATAAATGTGTATTAATTTTTATTTTTTTAAATATAGTTTAAATGGATTTTAAATCAATTAGTTATATTTTTTATTATTTTAATATGGAATATAAATGGATTATTACTAATTTTTGTTAACAATTTTATTTTAATTATTTATTGATCAAATCCATTCGAGCCAAAACAAAACTGAATCAACGGATTTCAAATTTATTCTTTGGAAGCTGGAGCAGTCCATATCAGTTTGATCAAACCAATGAAAACCAAATCCAAATAAAACCAGCCATCTTTAATAAGTTAAATGGGTTAGATTATATAGTCAGTAAGAATGAATTATATTAGAGCGTTTGGTTACAAAATTCTTATCATGGGCTTCATTCGTTTTAGAATGAAAAATCAATCCATGGAATAAAAATTGAGGTAACTTGTAGCATGAAAATAATCATGCCCCATCTTATGCATCTTCAATCTTTAAAGAAAATCTATGCCGGCATTCATAAACTTTTGCCATAGATTTTTATTGGCAGACTACTATGGAAACTTATGCCAACGGACATTGACTGCTGGCCATCCTCCGTTAAGCATCTATGCAGGTTGTTTTGGAGACCTAGGCTGGCCGACACAAAGTTTTGTTTTTGAAGAATGGAAATGGGCAACATAAGGCACATATATGATGTTTTATTATATTTATGACTTTCTTAGTATATATTATGTTTATTGAATGGAAAATCTATGATACCGGAAAGACATGGTATTGGAAGGGCATTGACCAATCAAAGCATCATGTGAATTTTGATGAATACCACCAGGTTGGTCACCTCTTTTATGATACCAGTTGATTGGCTATAAGTTTTTCCGATATCATGTATTTCCTGTATCATAGTTGAATCTTTATTGAATTTACCAATTTGATGAAATTGCTAGTACTTTTTCATGTCATTATTTTATTTATAATTTTATAATTTTTAAATTTCATTTCTATTTATAAGTTCCAAGCTCATCTCTTAATTTGCACGATTGCCTACTCAATTCAGCAATTAGTTTTAAATATGTGACAATTGCTTTATTTAAATTTTCTTTTATACTTTCTCTATGCAACCAAATGCAAAATCTTTTCTTGTTTCTTGTGAATTTTTTGGTTTTTCATATTTTGTGTTATTGATGTGAGGGACCACATCGTTGATTTGTGTTTTGTTGGTGTGTATTTTGTATGTTTCCACTATATATCTACTAATGAGCATTGTATGTATACTTGCTTTATTATTTCAGTTGAAAGAAAAAAAAAATAGAACTGAAATTTATACCCAAACAACTTCAAAATTTATTCCCATCCTTGCCATGAAAAGAATTCAATATTTTTTGGAAAAAAACGTTTGGCTTATAGCAACATTTTCTCATTCTGCCCATTTCTACTCATTTTTGCCTATTCTAGAATTTTATTATTAAGATAAATCTCTTAAAATACCTCTATATTTTAGGAAATTGATTTACTCTACTGCTACTGTTTAGAAATTGTGTTGAAGTACCCCAAGTTTTCTAATAATTGACTAAATCCCCCCATGCCGTTTGCGTTAACGTTTCATCATAATCTGTTCACATGTAATACCATGTGTCATCTAGATTTTTTTTTTTTAAACCCAATGTTACCCTTTTGTGGTCCATTTTAAAACTCGAACACAGCCTTCAACCTTTACTCAGTTGAAGGGAGTTTCTCCATCCTTCCCTATGATATTGAAGCAAATAGACATGGAACTAGCTAGAGCTAAGACGTCATCCTCAAAATCTAGTTTTTGGGTGGGAGATGATCCCTCCTGTTCACACTCACCTGTTCAAAGGTCTTTACAACAATAAAGAATGGAGATGATCCCATCTAGTTTTTAGGTTGTAGGTGGCTTTGTTGGAGATCTCTATTGGGTGGAACTTGGAAGGCTTTGCCAACAAAGAAAGTTTCCCATACTACAGGGATCTTCATCTTCTTCTTCTAATCATTAAAACAATGTTTCTTAACCCCTATCTCTTCCTCTTGCAGTTCAACCTCCACCCCCACTGTGCTCTGAAATCGAGAACCCTAGCATCATACCTTTTCCACTAAAAACCTTCATCCCAGGTGAGTCACTCTGAGAGTCACACTCTGTGCTAACTTCACCTGGAAATCAAGCAACCCATGCATCGCACTATGTTACTTGCGCCGCATCTACTGTGATCGCTCATTCGAGCGAACACTGTAGATGCATAGCGGGTAATAACAATGATTCAAATGGATCAGATATTTGCTCTGTCTCACACATATCCTACCCATTTTACCGTTAGCTGTTATGTTAAATCCATTTTACTGTTACTTATTGTGTTGATGTGTTATTTAGTAATTTTTAAAATGATTTTTGTTTAATTATTTTAGTCCCAAACAAACTACTTAAACTATGTTTTTTTATTTTCTGTATTGTGTTTTATTCTAAAAATTTGTTTCAATTAAAAATTGTTACCATAATTACAATAAACTATTTAATTAAATTTGCTTGATGTCGGAAATTGTTTAAATAATTTAAAATTTTCAATTATTTTTATTTACCTATTGAAAATAATTATTTTCAATTGATTCAATAAAAAATGTGTTTACCATAATTGTAATAAACTACTTAATTAAATTTGTTTGATTTCAGTAATTGTTAAATAATTTAAAATTTTCAATAAATTTTATTTATTTATTGGAAATAATAATTTTCAATTATTATTATGTTGGAACTAATTATGTTTTCCATTCACTAATATTTTTGTCTCAATAAATTTTAATTATTTTTAGTTACTTATTAATAGAAAATATTGAATATATTCAGTTATGCAAAATGTTTAATATTTTCTATAATTAGTGACTATTTTAAGTATTTAGATTTTTCACTAAAAATATTACTGAAATTCTGAAGTTCAAATCACTTAAAATATTGAAAATTATGAAATTTCAATGGTTTAATATTAATATTCAGTTATTTAAATTGTTTAATATTTCCTGGAAATAGTGAATGTTTTTAGTTTTCCTTTAATAGTGGATATTATTTAATATTTTGAAAATTACAATAATTCTGAAAATGCACAAGTATAATGTTGGACAAAATTATGGAAAATTAAAATTCTAATCAAAGTCAATTACATAATTAGTTAATGATAACATAATTAAGTCATTAATTAAATAGTTCTTCAATTACTTAACTTGGAATAAGTTTTAACTTAATTTATTTCATTGACTTAAAAGTCATTACCTTAATTAATGAACTTCATTATCTTAAATAAATTAAACTAATTAATTAAGCTTAATTAATTAGTTATTAGTTAACTGTGTGTGGCCTCATCTATACATGGTTATTTAATCGGTTACATTTATTTAGTGAACTTACTTTTATTAATTAATTAACTTAACAAATTTAGTTAAATTAGAAAATGATTATATAATTAAAAACATTAATTAAGTAATATGAATTATAGATTAAAAAGCTAGTACAAATTAATAATGTAATAAAAATTATAGGTAAAATAATATGAATTAATATAAAATATTCTTACAAGTTTTACTTAAAATAAAGGTAATACAAATTAATACATGTCTATAAATAAAACAAGCAAAAAGCATGAAAATTTTAGTTTCAAAAAACAAATCTTATATTTTGATATTCATTTAAAAATAAAACTATACTACAAATTTGTTGACAAAATAAAAAATTAATAAAATTATTGGTTTTAAACTTAATTATTATAAATTTAAAATCCTGTATTCCATTTAAAATTAACAAAATTTAGTAATAAATAAAAATTAGTAAAAGTTAAAACAATTTAATAAAAATAAAAATGAATACAATTAGGAATGTCAAAATGCCCCATGGGATGCCCCTTTGGGGGAAGCTTCTTCATGGCGTTCCCATCTGGACGTTCGGCGAGGGTCACCTTCTTCAGTAGATTTTCCCTTAAAACTCCTTCGGTAGGCCTCTTTGACGCCTCTGCTAGCTTCTTTGATCCCTCGACCGGCCCCTTCCCTTTGGCAAGGACTTGAGTTGCCCCCTTGGCGGGGGGGCTCCTCCTCCACCAAGGGCTTGGCCTTGACTGTCCCCAACACGACCAGGTGCGCCACGGCAGCAGCCTCCTCATCCCGGAGTGGAGGGGGACACTTCTCCACTATCGTAC